TTATTTCTTATTCTTGTTATTATTAGTTATTTCGTTATTATTAGCTGTTTCGTTATTATGTATTAGTTTTTCCTCAAATTGTTAACGGTAATAAATTTTAAAATCTTTTTATTTTAAAATCTTTCTTTTAATAAATTTTTATTTTATTTTTCTTATTGCATTGTTTTACGGATTCCTGTAATCAGTTCAGCCTTAATTCAGCTACTGAACATATAAATATTTTTTTGCTGTTCTTCTGTTTTTTGGCGCGGTGCCAACTGGTAAGAACAACTTTATTTTATATAGTTTTGTTGTTTTCTTTTCTTTTTGCTGAAAGAGAAAACTTTTTTTGTTGCTTTTTTTTGCTGAAAAAGAAATTTTTTATTATAATTTAGAAATTAAAACTTTTCTTTATGAAATGCATAAAAAAATTTAATTTTTTATTATACAGATACTCTAAATGGTAATTTAAAGGTCTCTTCTAAAAGGATGCTGATATACGCGGGTTAGCACCATTGCGGCGCTTGCGCCGGAGCGGCGCTTACTATAACTTTTCTTTTAAAAATTTCATTTTTATCGAGGTGCGGCGCTTACGGCGAAACGCCGCTTTCGCCGAAAAATACGGTACTACACATAATTTTCATATACTACAATTTATAATAGAATTTTTCATATACTACACATAAAAATGCTTGTTATTTCCATTTTACTTAACATATCATATGAAATAAGATATTAAAATAAAACCTTTGGAACTGATTTTCTCAAAGGCATTATTAATAACATTATGAATTATCGAATTCAGGCAGTTTTAGATATTTCAAGGTAGTAAGATGATATTGATTTTAAAGTATTCTATAAGACTGCTGCATATTTAACATTTGTGCAGTGAAAGTAGGAAATTTTAAAAAATTAATTTTCATTTAAGCAAGCTAAAAAATGATGCAAAAAACCACACAATATTAAAATCTTTCTTTATAGAATTATCTTGAAAACAAATAATTTTATATCAAAGAACTTTATTTTTAATTGATTTAAAAAAAAAACTAAATTTTAAGAAATTTACTAATACTAAAGTAGTGCACATGCTTTTTTGCTGAATTTATTGTAATATTAATGTTTCATATATAAACAAAACAAAAAAAAAACAGCTGTCTATGTTACCTAAATGGTTGCAACATTTTGCTTTAAAAGCCCAATTAATGATACCATTAATCGACTAATATCGTAATATATTAATATTATAATATACTGATATAATCAAATTAAGAAATACAAAATAAGAAAAAAATGAATTAAAAAATAACATATCAAAAAGCATCGAAGATGAACATAACAATAAAATCTGCAAAATTTAATTTGTTAAATAAATCAACTTAATGTACGAAATATAATATTACAATTTAAAACTTGTTATATCAATTCAGAATTCTTAATTGATTTAATTCAAACATTTGCTCACCACAAAAGAAATTAATTAAGAGTCTTTGTAACATTCGGCGAACATTTCGATTTTAAAAATCTTGCACAATTTATTTGTAGGATGATGAAACATAAAGAAATGAAATGTATTAAAATCCAGCACGAATATATTGTAAAACGGAAAATAAAACAATTGATAATTTCAATTTAAAATATTAATAATCAATTAAAATAAAAGCAGAAAAAAAGATGCTTTTGAATTTTTCAAAAATCCACAGTAGTATTCTTAGAAAATGGGATACATTAAACACACAAAAAATAAGGAAGAACAAAATATTTTTTAATGGGAAAATGAGGAATATTAGGACAACTATGAATTCAGGAATATGTAATGAATAATGAAATCAGTTATAAACTAAATTTAATCATGATTTGAATTTGAAAAAAAAAATGTCAAACATCTTACTCTTCCTAAAAAGAAACCACAGATTATAGATAGTGCTCGAAAATGAAATCAAATTCTTATTGACCATAAAAGTAACAAAAAATTTAAAATTTTGAATAATTTTTACCGCATCAACTATTCGTTCATTGCGAAAAATTGTCTTTAACATATGCCCTAAAGTGCAGTCAGGCTGTAAACGACCTAGAAAAAGAGAGAAAAATTAATTTTAAGAAACAAATAAATTCAATACATGAAATAAATTCCAGGGAGCATAATTCCCTCCAACATTTGACTCAGTTATTTTATTTAAGAGCAACACCACAGGCTCATAAAATTGTTTGTACTAAAGAACCTAATAATATAATTGTATGTCTTATTTCCAGAAGCATTTAGAGTAGGCCTCAAGAAATTAAGTATTAAGCAAAAAAAAATTTTGTACTAACAGTTTAATGTTTTTAAAAAAAATTTAAATACATGACACTTTCTGAAATATACATTTCATTTACAAGAGATTGAAATACTACTGAACCAAGTTTTTAACACAATTTAGTAGAAATTTATTGATATTAAAAGAGATGCTAATAAAAGTCTCTTACAAGGATATAGAATTTTATTTGAATATTTGACAAATTTAATATTCAGAAAAAATTATCTTAAAATTCAAATATAGATCTCATTAATAAGAAATTATTTTTTAGAAGGAAAGTATTACCGTCTACATCACCTTTTACAGGTATGCTAAGGAAAAAAGGTTGCTATGAAAATCATTTCGGTACCCTAAAAAGTATGGCAGTAAGATTATATTATATCTAATGTACGCAACATAATAAAAATGTCTCTTATTTATTTATTTTTTAGAGTGTGCATTAACTTTCAACAAATCATTGAAACATATTTAGATTAATTTTTCAACACACAAATAAAGTCAGTAACATAAAAAATATTTTGACATAATAGGGGAAGGATAATTTTTTAATCACTTTCAGTCATTAACAAACAGACACAAAATAAAAGTTTAAACCTCTTATTTTCAAACAAAACAACAAAAGAGAAAATAATTTTATTTTTGCCATACCAGGGTGGCCACTCAAATCAGATTTCAAATTTCCCTGATATTTCCAGGTAAAAATTTTAAAATTTCCAGGTCCGTGTTTTCTTGCTTATAAATTGTAGGACGTGTACAAGAAAAGTGTCTTTATTATAAGATATTTTATTCAAAAAGTCATTTTTTTAACAGATCTTGAAAAAAAAAAATTTTTTTTTGGCAAGATTTTGTTTTTTAATGCTTTGGTACAACATTAATTTTTAAAAAATTAAGACACATGGAGAAAATAATATGTTTAGCTTGTAGGATATATTGCTGTAATTGAATAAAATGTTTTAATGTTTTACTTTAAGTAGTATTTGATCATAGTGTACCTAGAAAATGGCAAAAACAGAATGACCAATAAAACCTTGGTTAAGTATTGCTTAATATATTTTCATTAAGCAAAGGAAAACCGTTTCAGGTGATTATATATCAATGAATTTTTATAATTACTGTGGCTCCCAAAAGTGTTTGCTCATTTATAACTTTTATTGAAATAGGAAATAAAAATTAATTCTTTAAAATGAATATTTCAGAGTGTTTTCACTACAGCGCGAGAATCTCGCTTATATTTTTCTTTTCTCGCATTAAAAAATTATTAACGCGAGAAGATCGCGCACTCTATTAATCAATTTCAAAATGCGTGAATTTTGGAAAAAAATTCGTCTTCCGCCATTTTGAGTAAAATCCGTTTCACTTTTCTTCCTTGATCTTTCATTATTTTCAACATTTATCCCTGTTATCTAGCTTCCCTATTTACCAGTATTGTTCAGAACCGGTGCGAACAGCAGAACACAATGCCCCCCCCCCCGAATGACGGAACACTTTTCAGAACACATTTTTCTGCAACCACGTGTTCACGGAAGGTAAGATTTTTTCATGAAAGACATTACAATTTTTTTCAATGCTGCAAATTTACTTAGTGATTCCGAATTGTTCAGCATCTGTTGCAAGGTCATTTAGCACTCAAAACCGAATTAAGACAAAATATTGTATACAAATAACTGATAAACATTTGAGCAACCTAATGAGAAAAGCTGATGAAAAAGTAGATATAGAATGTTTTCCATATGATGATGCAGCAAAAATATTCAATGCTTTAAAAATTAGAAGATGTTAAAAATGTATTATAATTAAAGAAATATTTTTCTTCCAAGTCTATTCGCTTTTTTTAAAATTTTTAGCAATCTCACTTAACTTTTTGAGATCTCACCCTGTTTTTGAGAAAGGGTGAGAAATTCTCTCTCATTTCTTTTCTGTAATGAAAACACTGATTTCACAATGGGTATTTGATAATAAAAAGTATAATCTATTATTAGCAAAGCTGCATGGAATATTTTAAAAACAAAGCAAAAGTTAATTTTTAAGATATCAATAATCAAATAGTAACAAAAATTTTACCCCACGAAAGCCATCAGACAGTTAAATGTTTTCGGATTTCAGAATTAAAATTATCGTCATTTGCATTAATTTTTTTATTTAATTATTTGCAATTTAATATCAAACTTATCATAGCAAAATTATTTTTTAATTTTAGCTTACTAACTGCGTAATATTTTATTATTTAAAAACGGCTCGTGGTCCTAATAAAACAATAGACCAAATTTGATTATTTGTCATCATAAGAGGTATGCACTGTGCAATATGCGATAAAATGCATAAAAGGAGGACTTCATATCAGAGATTAAAATTATAAAATTTGTGGAAAAATTCATAAATTCGCAATAGAGTGCTGTAAAAATTTTTAAAAAATATTCCGAACAAATTTTTCTTGACAAAAAAAAAAACTAGCTTGTATTTACAAATTTATAAAAGCTATAGATGTTAAAGGAAACAACTAAATGTTAATTTAATGAAAAATAAAAATATTTAATAAGACAGAGTTTTTTTATTTTTTATTTTTGAACGTGTACAATGGCTTTTGTGGGATAAAGTTTTTGTCACTTTTTGACGATTGATTTCTTTAAAATAAACTATTCCTTTGTTTTTAAAATATTCCATACAGTTTTATTAAGATTAGAATAAATTTTTTATTACTAAATATCCATTCTGAAATATTAATTTAATTAATGGATAGTCTTATTTCATTGAAAGTCATAAGCGTACGAACACTTTTGTGAGTCACTGTAATTACATTTCAATATAAAGCTGTACTGTATACTGCATTTTATCTTACCAGTGTTTTTTATTTATAAAATTCATTGATAATATTTTCTTTAAACCAATATCTTAAGACAAATTTTTAAATAATGTTGTTCTGAATTAGCATTATTATTTTCAGAGATTCAAAATAAAAAAATAAATGTCACAAATGTAAAATTGTCTAATTTTTTGTTCTATACTCTAAAGAAAAAAAAATAGATAAAATTCCTTAAATTTTATACTTTTTTGATTTTTTTTCTGTATTTGAAATTAAAACTTAAAAGAATTCTAATCTAAACACACAGTTTTTTAGTTTAGTATAGTTAATTCTTATTTTTTAAAAACAACAAGAATCTTGTACATCGCAGAACTAAAACACTTAAGTTTCGTTTTCCTTCTTCCGACTAAACACATAGGAATAAAAAAAAAAATTATTTTATGTTCATACATCATTTTTTAATGATTCCTATACATTCTTTAGTCTTTGTCAGCTCTTTAGGGTAAACGGAGGAAGAGTTTGGGAAATATCATCTCTAAAATGCAAGCAACATTTAAGAACTTTCGATATTCTGATAACTATATAATTCAAATTTTGATTTAAAAATCTAATATTTCTCAACAAGCAGTAAAATTAAATATTAATACATAGTTAGTTCTAAAAAAATCTTCTTTTTTTTAAATTAAAATATGTCATAAAAGGTAAAAATGAAATAGAAAAAATTAGCATTAATGCAACAATTGTAACAATTTGTAGACAAACATTGCTGCTAGCAATAGTACAAAAAATTTGTGATTTGTTGGTTTGGAGAAAAAAAATAATTCATGTTTCTTTGAATGGGAGTACAAAAGGTTTCAGAGAAAGAGTGCAATATAAAATCTATTATTACAAAATTATACCCAACTAATTTTTGGATATTTTTATAATGTTAAAAATGCAAAAACATTTTGACTCATTTTGTCAAAATAGAAAAAAATTACCACCAAAGCATCGGAACAAACTTGAGCCATAAATGGCTCAAGTTTGCCCACGGACAGAATTTCACAACAGAAGAAAATATCCTAACCCCTTCTTCCACGTCCACCACAATCTTTGCGTTTCCTAAATTGCGCAGTCGCACAGTCTCCATAGAGATCAAAGATTTCTACATTTGTTTAGCAACCATGGGAGAATTTTATGTGGCATTCTAGTTTAACAGGGTTATAATGAAGCAAATTTTGATGCAAGCAAAGTATAGCTAAGTTGATAACATTTTAACTGTTTGGATATACATTTCCGTCTAAAAAATGTGGGTATAATGGATGAAATAATTTAAATTAGGAAAATTAGTAAATAGTTTAAATTAGTTAAATTAAAAAAATATCTAAGAAAATCTCCAGTTTTTCTTTAAAATTCCCTGATTTTTCCAGGTTTTTATCTAAATTTCCCTGATTTTTCCAGGTTTTTTCCAGTATAAAAAATATCTAAGAAAATTTCCAGCTTTTCTTTAAAATTCCCTGATTTTTCCAGGTTTTTATCCAAATTTCCCTGATTTTTCCACGTTTTTTCCAGTATAAAAAAATTTCCTGATAATTCCAGGTTTTCAAGGTTTTCCAGGTGGGTGGCCACCGTGCATACCTAAAAAGTAGGAAGCATCACTTTCATAATACACTTCTATCAACATAGAAAATCCTCCTACATCTTTTAAAAGTGATACATACTAAGTTATTCATTTTGGTTGTTAAAAAAATAGAATTATTTTCTGCTCTTTAGTCCACTTGAGATAATTTAAAAAAAAAAAAAACTAAGTCTTATATCAATTATTTTCTTTCAGTGAACATTTTACAATTTCAAAAACTTTCATAGCCAATTATAAATAAAAAAAATTTAATTATATGTTTTTTTTTAATTTGTGCTTTCTAAATCAATAAAAGGTTATATGGACAATAGGCAGCAATTTCAATTTTTCACACGTCTGTGGGACTCTACATTTCATGCCTTTGGAAGTGGGAGACAGGTCTGTGAATATTTATCATTTCACATTTAAAATACTTGTGTATTATATGTATACAACCTATTATGTGTATACAATCTAAACTACTAAAAACAGTATCCGTATTTAAGCTCAGATCTCTCTTAAAAATTAGTATAATTTTGACTTTTTTTTAAAAATGTTATAAGGAAATTCTTGTTTTTCAGAAAATTGAGCATATGCATGAATGTCTAGTATATTTGCCTTCAAATATCAAGATAAAAAAGACCTTATAAAAAGTACAAGCCTATATACGAATCATTTATACGAAATAAACTCATATTTATTCTGAAAAAAATTTTAACACAAAACTTACTAGGATGACGATCATCAAAAGGGTCAGGATCCTTTTTTAAGAACGACTCAGTTTCTCTTTCAAAAAGCAAAGCCAATCTATTGAATCAAAGTTATAATCCCATTACTTGAAATATAATATTTGCATTGATCACTAAGAGATATTAATCAAAAAATAATAAAATAAGAGATTTCTTACAAGAATCGCAATATTCTATTTTAAAAACATGAATATGATTCACAATATTGGATTTTAAAAAAGTGAAAACACAAATCATGATATTGGACTTTAAAAAACGCTATATAGGGAATTTTTAAATTGCATAAATGCAAATCGCAAGGCGTGATTTTTTAATCATGTGAATCTAAAATGCAATGTGTAACTTTTAAATGTGTAAATACAAAAATCTATGTGTTAATTTTAAACTCTGTGAATATGAATCACAATACTGATTTTGAAAACATGCAAATACAAATCACGAAAATAGATTTTTAAATCACTAAATACATATCACCATGTATGATTTTTAAACTGCGTGAATATGATTCAAAATGTGTAACTTTTTAATAAGGTATTATTCAAATGTTACAATTGATGTTACAATTGAGTGAATATTTATTGCGATATTAGTGGACACTGGTGTAGTTTTAAATATTAAAAACCGTCGTTTATCCGACAATCCTAAAGCATAGCTGCTAACATAGATAGGAAAAAATCAAGTCAATTTTACAAAATATTAATTTCATGATAATTGTTCCAAAATGTACTAAATATTTTACACACATAGGAATTTTTAAGGATTTTTATAGTCATCAAAATAGCAAAACTTCAATATTTTCCAGTCATGATTGGTACTAAATATGCTTGAAACGTTGTGTATTACGTTTATTCATAATTTTGAATTGTAATAGGCAATTAATTCATAAAAAATAATTCAGATTTTTTAAATTACTTTAAAGAGGGAGTTCTGAATATAAACTGAACATTTCAGAAGAAAAAAAAGTCTTAAACTGATATCTATAAAGGAGGCTTGTTTCATTATACATTAGTATTCTAGTTTAAATATTCAAGCAAGCAATAATCTGTGCAAGAAATGAAATGAAATGCATAAGAGATGAAAAATTTGCAACTCAAAGATAATATTAAAGTCATCTTTAACATCATTTTCCACTTAATCGAAAATATAAAGAAAAAAATTGCAGGGATTTGTTTTCATAAGATGAACAAAAGATTGAAATATGATTATAATTCTGAACAATGAGTAATTAGTAGACAGTCCAAAAATTCAAACTATCATATGTTTGTGATTTTTATGAATCATTAAATTTTATTATTAAATAAAAAAAAAGAGATGATATAAATATTTTTAAATGACTAAGTTTTAAAGTGTATCAAAACGATTGAATGATTCTAGAAAATGATTCTGGAGAAAACGTGGGGGTAAATTAATAAAATTTTTATTCTAATACTGATTAGCAATAATTCATTCTTATGTGAAAAAGGTAAAGAAAAAAAATATGGGTTCCTTTTTTCACACATACTCTTGTTCACTTGAAGCATGGTTCGGATTTCTACTTTTAACACTAGAAAGACGGAAACTTAGTATATATCTATATTGCCCGAAAGCAGTCAAAATGACTGCATTGTGAAAGAATAACTAATATGTAAAGAAATTTGTTGCAAATTATTTTTTAATATTATTTACAGTCATACAACAAGTTATTAATAAGTATTAACGATAAAAAAAAAAACTTACTTGACTTGGAAAAAAATAATTTTTTCATTATTTGTACATTTTAAGCAAATGAAAGCGGAAATCTTTTTATATTATTTGTTTCACATACATTATTTGTTTTGTTTTTGTGGCAAAGTCGTACTTGAAAAATTTTGCATTTGTTAGAATATGTTGTATTTGATGATGTTGCAGTTGATCTTTGTGGGTCTCCATGTTCTGAGGAATTTTTCGACCTTGCAGCTCTGTAATCGATGGAAAGCTGTTCTGCTAATTGAAACAGGAACTGTTTTTGTTGTATTTGTATTCCTGTCACTTCTTTGTAAAGGATCCAAGCATTTATAACAGCCAAATCTAAAATATTGAAAAATATTTGGAGGGGCCATCTACGAGAACTAGATTTAACTGTATATTTTCTGGCCATTTGATCCGCCATATCAACTCCAAATTTTGTTTTGTTATAAAATTGAATAGAGTCCGGTAGCATTTTTTTTATTACTTTTATCAATTTTCACAAATTTATGCCTGGAACTTAGAACAGCTACACTCTTATTCGGTTTGCTTTTATATATTGTAAGGACACAATTTTGTGATTTATATACGAGAGTGGAAAAACGAGGCATGCTATCCTTCGTTTGTTTGGCTGCTTTGGGTAGTTCTCTTTTATTTCCTCTAATAGTTCCAACTAGTGTTGTTTTTTTGGCCAATAATTTCATCGCGAGTGACATGCTAGTGAAAAAGTTATCGGTCGTGATATTCCTTCCGCAGCTTGTATATGGCTCAACAAGTTTCAGAACAACGTGTTCACAGAGAAGCATTGACGATGGTCGTTGTTCATCTTTTTCCAAGTAAGGAAAACCATTCAAAACGTACTTGCTACTAACATCTGATGCAAGCCAGAATTTGATGCCAAATTTGTTGGGTTTATTAGGCATATACTGTATAAACTTGCACCTGGCTTTTGTCGGAAATAATTGCTCGTCAAGTGTTATATTTTGCCCTGGTTGATAGCAAGCTTGACGATTTTCAATGAATTTGTCCCATATTTCAGAAACCAAGGCAAATTTATTTGTTTGGAGACGTCTACTTCTTTCGGTTTTTTTGTCAAAAGGAATAAATCGTAGGATTTGTTTCAACTTATCTCTGGTCATAGTTCTTCTAAAAAATTCGGGAACCCACTTTGCTGACCATAAATAACTTAGTTTTAAATTTTTTGCCTCGTGGGCTCCACGAGCATATAAAATCCCAATAAATACACGAATTTTCGGTAATGTTGTTGTCCAATCGTTCCTCAAAATTTGGCGGCCTTCTTCTTCTGTCCAGTTTTTTATATGTTCGATAATATAGTTATCTATTATCAACGAGAATGCACTGACAAGATTATCTGCCATAATGTTCCTTTTTGCGTAGCCTGTTGGACCTTTCACACCCTTGAAAACACAAGTCGATGGTAACCTTCCAGGAATTCCCCCTTCGTCAAATTTTAACCACACAGTATCATCGGCAGCTGTTTCGGTCTCTTGAAAAGTGTTTTCAGTTTCTTCATCAGAGTCAGAACTAATTAGCACCCTACACCTTTTCCTGGACACATTGATGACACTTTCATTTTCATCGTTGGTGATCGCCTTTTCATCGCTATCTTCAGCATCAGATTTCTCACTTTGAGTATAATCCGATTCATCTTCAGATGATAGTTCCCAATTTGTTGCATCTGATTCTATAACGGAACACTCTTCACCTATGTTCTTTAGCTTTTCCAATAACTCTCTTCTATTTGACATTTCTTTCATGAATTTAGGGCGCAAAAGAAATCAACTGAACAACGTGTTAGAACGACTATCACTGCATAAAAGAGGCATATCCTAAGTCGACACGTGCGCAGCTCACGGTTATTACGTTGTAGTGCGTTCAAGGGGAACGAGGAGCGTGGGCAGGCCTGGCGTAAAGATTTGAATAACAAGTACTGTTTTAGTTATTGAACAGCTGCATCTTATCGAGTACATTTTATTTTATTTTATAACCGTCGTTGGACAGCCAACCCAATTTTGGGATCACGACTACTAATGTTCAACTCCGAAGCCTTGCAATTTTGAATCAATCCAGAAGACAAGGAAACTCCTGGATCAGCACCCCAAGAGGTATGATTTGTTATGGGAACATGGAGGACTTTGAGACTCGACAAATTTAATGTACATCAGTCATCATTTACTACACGGGGAGTCTTTGGCCGGCGAAGATCGAACCCACGACCCCCTTGGACTTGTGCCCAGTGCCCTATCAACCAGGCTATCCCGGTTTTCCCAAGTAGTCAAAATGACTGCTTTTGGGCAATATAGGTATAACACATATATTTTTACTGGAAATGACGGAGGTAGTGGCAACTACAATGATTAATAAACGCTTCTATATATTGTACAAAAAGTCATAAAATTCTAAGAAGCTATGTCATTATATAAACTGCTGTTTGTAGAAAATGCAACACCATGAAAGAATCATCAGAATCAAATGAAATTTAATGCAGAAACGACTTGTACTGATACAAATAAATGATGAAATTTTCAAAACAAAAGAAACAAATTAAGCGTCCGAAATCAGTATTTGGTGCAGCCACCACGCGCTGCAATAAGTGCTGCTATACGACGTGGCATGGAGTCAAACAGATGTTGAATATCTGCTTGAGGAAGAGAATTCCATATCGCTTGTATGCGCAACCAAAGTTCGTCTTTGGAAACTGCAGGACGCGGATCACGAGTGAGACGCCGACCAACCATATCCCACACGTGCTCAATAGGCGACATATCCGGCGAATAAGCAGGCCAAGGAAGAAGTTGCATGCGTTGTGCTGAACAGAAGTCTCTAACAGTCCGCGCAACATGTGGGCGTGCATTATCCTGCTGAAAGATAGCTCCAGGGATGCCTTGAAGGAAAGGAACGACTTCGGGCTGTAGCACTTCACGGACGTATCTGTTGCTATTGAGATTACCCTCAATTCGTATCAAATTGGATCGTCCATGATACGAAATCGCACCCCAGACCATAACTCCGGGTGTTCGACCACTATGTCGTTCAATAATACACTCAGGAAGGCAGCGTTGACCGGCATAACGTCTAACACGAACACGGCCATCATGGGTCCACAAATTGAAGCGTGATTCATCTGAAAAGACAACTTGGTGCCAATCAGCTCGCCAGTCTCTGTGCTCAAGAGCCCACTGCCGACGCAGCCGTCGATGATCCGCCGTGAGGGGAATCCTGTATAATGGCACCCTTGCACGCAATCCACGGCGCAGCAGACGACGACGAATTGACGAAGCCGACAATTGTACACCTGTAGCAGTAGACCAATGTGCTGCCAGCTGCCTGGAGGAAGCTGTGCGATCATTCACCGCCATGCGGAGCAGGTGTCGATCATCGCGCTCTGACGTCACCTTCTGTCGTCCAGTGCCTGTTTTTCGAGTTGTTCGGTGCTCGTCGGTCCACTGCTTCCAAACTCGCATCACTGTGGAACTGTTCCGCTGCATACGAGCTGCTATTGCGCGATAGGAAAATCCTCCTTCTCGAAGGCCGATTATCCTCCCTCGTTCAAACTCCGTAAGTTGCTTGAATTTCTTATTCTTCCGTCGTGGAGGCATACTCAGGTCTCACTAAACGTTTGCCACTAACAAATAATCATAGACTATTTTCAACGTCCCGCTACAGCACTTTATTTATACGCTTTCAGCATCAATTCAGAGGGCGCTGCGCGCGCCACGCACGCGCGATGGCTCTGAAACTTTATTAATTTGCATAATATCCTATATCCATTATTAAAATAATATTTCATTTGATTCTGATGATTCCTTCATGGTGTTGCATTTTCTACAAACAGCAGTTTACATAATTGTTTTTCAAATTAAAATTGAAAAGCAGTCAAAATGACTTCCTTAGGCAATCTAATGTTAAATTAGTTTTGATGATAACTCTAGTTTCTCATTTCTTTTCTATTGAAGAAACTTTTAAAAATATCCAAATATGTCTTTTAAAATCATGTGTTCATTGAAATGATATGTTCTGAACTAAGAACAAACAAGAATAAACAAACAAAAAAATCGGGATTATCAAGACAAAATGCTAAAAACCAGGACAAAACCTTTTACATCAAGAAAATCTCAAATATCAAAACTGAGAGCCCCACACACAATAAAACAAACAAAGATGAACCAACACATACTTTAGACTAAAATGAATCAACATAGTGCATTTAGTTAGTTTCTATTAAAATCAAGAGGGACAGCATCTATTAGTAACTTTTAAAATGAAATAAGAAAAAAAGAGATTCTACAGAAGAATCTCAACATTTCAGAAGCATTTCTTTTTTTTTTTTCTGTTGTAAAGAAATCACTGACAACCACATGGATCTAAAATATATATTTGAGAGCATTCTGTTCATAATTATTAAAACTAAGAGAGATTTGACATCTCTCCCTGCATTGAAGAATTAATTTCAAGGGGAAAAAAAAGATATACCGTTCAAGAATTTCTGTTACATTCCCAGAGGCATTTTCTTCCTCCCATTGCAATAAAAGCATTGAAACTTGCTCAACTGACATCTTCAAAGCTAAAATGTAACAAAGCAAATCACTTTTCAATAAAGAAAAACTCATGCAGAATAGCATAGATAACTTCAGCTACACTACAGATAAAAAAAAGAAAACATTTATAAAAAAACAGTACTTTTAAAATACAAAAATAAAAAAGAATCTATAAGACATAATAAGTTGCATGCAGTAATAAGCTTCAATTTATAAATACAGTGAAATCTAGATTAAGCAATCACTCTTAGGACCAAATAAATGAACCATTTAAGACAATTGTCTGCTTAGGGGAAATGTACACTAATAATGAAGGCTCATGCAAGAAATTGTCCTTAAATAAGAAAGGTAACTTCTATAACCATTCTTTAACTGTGTCAGCATCCACAGAAGTGGACTCTCACTCACTCTCAGCTAAAGAAATCATATACCTCTTTTGGAACTTTTCTAACTATCCATTAGGAGCTTTAAAATCTTTTATTCTCAGTTTCTCTGCCGCCTCTTTAGTCCTGAAACTGGATATATTTTTTAATTCTAAATCGAAAACCAATTTTAAATTCAGGTCTGTTTTCCGAAGACATTTTAATTTGGTACTTAATTCCATTTTCTTCTCACAGTTTCATTAGTTTTTCTCTATTTTTAATGATGCAGCCCGAGTGTTTCCAATTTTAAAGTGTTTGGCCAATTTCGGCTACTGCATTTTTGATGTCTGGAATAGTCTAAAATTTCAATTTTTTCCTCCAAACTTAAAGTTTTACAAGACATTGTTGAACGAAAAGGGATTTGCTCAAGAATAAGGATCTTTGGAAAGTTTGATCTCAAATACTCTTTCCAAATAATTTCAGACATTATAGCATTGTTTCTCAATGTGGGCATTACCGGCCCCAAGGGGGGGGGCGGTGAGAGTATGGTGAGGGACACTGAATTTGTTTTGGGCTGTAGGGGGCGATGGGTATGTTTTGGGCAGTAAGGGGGCGATGAGCATGTTTGGTCATTCCAATTTAATTTTCAAACTTCGATATAAAATTGTTAAAATGAGATTAATTTAATAAATAAAATTAATCTAAAATTAACATAAAAGAAAAAAATGATTAAATTAACATAACAAATTAAGATTATCAGGGCTTAATCTAGGTCGATTTTGGTACCGTTTTTCGGTACCTTCACAAAAATTTTTAAAAAAAGAATCGGTACCTTCACAAAAAAAAAATCAGTATTTCAACAAACTTTGAAGAGAAAAAAAACGCATCTTCACGAAAATAAAAAAAAAAGTTCGAAGGAATTAAAGTGCTGAATAGTTTTTCGAGCGGTTATTATAATTTTATCTATGTATTCTGTATTTCTATTATTTTTTTAACCACTAATTCAAAAGTAAAAGTTAGCACAATATCAAAATAATAATTTTTTAATCATAATAAGTTCAATAAATTTTATTAGTAAGTAAGTTAAAAAAAAATTTTAAACTTTATATAAATCTAATTTTTAACCATAATATTAATCTGTATAGTAAATTCCATAATTTCTATGCTGGCTGGCTGTATAATTTACATTAAATTAATAAATGTAATTAATCTGCAAGTTGTCTTATAAGCAATTCCTTGAGCAATATGTGAATGTTTTTTATAGTATTGTACTTTTTGTATACAGATGTAGCTTTTATGTTTTTTTTAGCAATACTAAATTTTCACAAAAAAAAAATTTTTTTCACAAAAATAATTTTTCTCTCACAAAAATAGGTACTAGGATTGAAAACCTGGATTAAGCCCTGATTATCCGATTCAGCATTTGTACCAGCAATAAAACGAACTTATGTGACAACCGTACTCCAATCTGAAGCATGAGTCAATTGTTTTAGCCACATTCAAGCTATTTGACGAAGCGCATGCACTTTCAGTATACATTCAGGATACTAAAGAATATTGTCAACACATAGAGTCTTTACGGTTGGATTTTTCTCACCGTTTAATAGATGATATGTCCCTGAAAGTCCCTCAAGGCTTTATGAACCCTTTTGTGAAGATTGAAAGAGCAGAGGTTCAGATTCAGGTGGAATTGGTTGAATTTTCAACCAATGAAACTTTGAAATAGTGATAGACTCACAGAATTTTGGCTTTAAGGTAACATAGGTCGCCTCTACCCTAGACTGTGGACTATCATCAAAAATGTTTTAATTGCTTTCTCTTTCCTCCTACCTTGTCAAAGAAAGCTTCAGTGCCATGACGGATTTAGCCACAAACAAGAGAAAACGAAGGGACTTGCATCTTCAACTCACGAAAGAAATTTAGAAGAACTTTAAGAAACTGGTCACCTCACACATCACAATCATCTCACTTACATAGTGACTTGATTGTTTCGTTGATACTACTTTCTTTCAAGAGTAAAAAAAATATTTTTGGGTGTTTTAATTTACATATTAAAGAAAAAATAACTCTTTTTAACAATAGGTTTCTTTGTTGTAGTTTTTTTCATTACCGTATTTATTTTAATTATAACAAAGACTGTGATTACCTGCCGGGAGAAAAGTATTCGGTTAATGAGCACATTAATTTCTTTTTAAAAATAAATAAATTTTAAGAAAATTGCTTTAAAATGTTGCCTCTTGTAATTCAGCTCATCCCCTATGCTCTAAATAATTGGATTTTCACAAAGGGGGCGGCAACATTTAAAAGGTTGAGAATCTAGGCATTATAGCTGCAGAGAAATTAATGTTTTTCCTTATTACTTAGATATTCAAGTTAGTCATGTGATACTGCATAAATACTTGTATTCCTTTATCATGACCTCAGTGGGGTCTAATAAATAGGGTTATTCCCCCTAACACCTCTACATCACTTGATAGGCATTTTCTTCCTGTAAGCAAACTGATCCTTTATACTGAAATAGCTTAAAAATATTTTTAGTTATGGATAAGGTAAAAATTTAAAATGCTTGAAAAAATGGTGGAAAGATGCTTTTTTTTATAAATTGAAAGTATAAATACAGTGTAACGTCCCATATCCGGACGTCCCTTTCCCGGAAGGGTCGATTTCCCAGACACTTTTTAACAATCAAAATAAACAAACATCTCTCCGTCATCCCCTTTCCACAAAAAAAAAAAAAAAAGTCTTTTGACACATTTTCTCTTTTCTGCATCGAACCCATAAATCACCAGAAAGGGGAAGTGAAGATCTACCAAGACCATTAGTGACGCTCCTCCCTTGGAATGTAGGAAAAAGAGGGAGATTTGCTTTCAAAAGACCGCAACTGAGTCCCTCCCCCCCTCCTTTCCCATGCAGGTGGCTAGTAAAAGAGGCATTTCCTGGAACCTTTTTATTGAAAGAAGAAATACTGTGGAAAAGGGTAAACAGGGCAAGCGTTAAGGTGGAGGGGGAGTCAAAATGGAAAATTTGAATAGGTCTAAAAGGATATACGTCCTTGAGAAACAAAACATTCGTTCTTCCCCATACCATGTAATATTTAGGAGGCGGGGGAAAAAGGGGGTAACATTCTCTCTTTAGCAGATTCTTTCAGTCATAGAAGAAAAAATAAAGAGAACCCGATCAGCGTGCCCCGCCTTTATGCTTGATTGATAGCCAATGATTGGAGAGAAAACAATAATTTGTTACTTCCCCACCCTCAACTTAAATGATCTCCTCTTTACACTTATTTTCTTTCACAAATAAGGAGGAAATGAATTTTTCTCCTCCACCTACCCACCTTAATGAATGAGGGGAATTTCCCTTTCTTGCTTGAATCATTCTAGTTAAAAATGGCGGATTATTATTTTCATATGTCAATTTTTTTTCGTTTTCTATATTTTAAGCAATAATATTTTTTTTCTAATATTTCATATTTTATTGATTAGATATTCTAATACTAAAACATTATTCCCCTTAAAAATAATGTTTATTTATTTTTTGCTTCTTAGATTTAGATCATTTTAAGCTTTGTTCCAGAATGACATGAATTTCCCCTTCCTGCTTGAATCGTTCTAGTTCAAAATGGCGGATTAATATTTTCATAACTGTTAAATTTTTTTCGTTTTCCATATTTTCAGCAATAATATTTTTTTTCTAATATTTTATATTTGATTTAGATATTCTAATGCTAAAACATTGTTCCCCTTAAAAATAACGTTTATTTATTTTTTGCTTCTTAGATTCAGGTCGCTTATTAAATCATTTTAAGCTTTGTTTACCTTGGGGATCTATTATACGGACTTCTGGAAGTCCCACCGATTCCGGATACGCGACTTTACACTGTAAATTCTTTTTGAAGTTCAGAGAAAGTAGTGCCTGGTTAGAGCAATGTTTCAGGGCATACATGACTGCCCACGCCCAGTTACGACAGTGTTTGCTATGCGGAGAGGGACATCATACCATTTAATCATAAGCATATACATGTAAGATCATATCAAAAATGTGCTTTTTTTTTCAAGGAAGGAAGGGTACTAGTACAAAAAAATCACTTTGTTTCTATTAATTTATTTATTATAAATAAAACAAGCTATATACTTGCAATTAGTAAATTACCAACTGCATTTAATATTCAACGCGCGAAACAATCCTTATATCCTCACTTATTAATACAATCGCATAACGTATGTAAAATTGTGTTTGCACAATTTTTACAATGGATTGTCATTAGATGGCAGGCGACTTTGGTTTATTTCCATATTGGTACCTGTAAGCCCCAAAGAGCAAACATTTTACACAGAAAAATTATAAATAAAAAGAGGTTTGCTCAGGAGAGGCTACGATTTGTCTTTCAATTTGATATTTTTCAGTGCTTTTTTTTTTCAGTTTGTATGTCACTGCCTATAGAAGTCCCCAAAACTTGGTGATAATTTTAGTACTGTTACAGAAATTTTCCTTGGGGATTCTGGTAACCAAAGTGTTTCTCATTACTTGTTCCGGCCAAACTAGAATCACCTAAGTTTTTTGTACTTGCAAAAAAATTTTAAAATAATATGTAATGCTTGCCCTAAGCAGGGCTCGAAATTAACGGTGGTCCGTTGGTCCGTGACCACTAAAATCGGAGTCGGACGAGCATAAAATAATAAACAGTGGTCTGCCGGACCACCATCCGCCGCAGCCGATCTCCGTTAATCTATTCTCGCAGCCGATCTATTCTCGATCTTACGAAACTTAAACGATCTTACTTAAAACTATTTTAGAACTTATTCACAATTTTTTTTTTAGAATTTTTTATACAAAATTTATATTAATCAAAAATTTGATTTAAATCAAAAATTTATGATTTTTAAAAAAAAAATCATGATTTTTTTCAATCAAAAATTTTAATTTTTTTATTTGCAGCTAATAGGAACGCGTAGACGGACCAGTAAAGTTTTGTGCGGACTAGTAAAATGTTTTAGTTACTGGTCCTATGGACCAGTAATTTTTTTTTTTAATTTCTACCCCTGCTAAGGTTACTATGAATTCATCCCCTTCACTTAAGACTTTTTAGTTTACTGCATGCCGACTGGCAGTCGCCAACACTTGGTGATTTCTTAATTGTAGTTACAGATAATAAAAAAATTAAAAAAAATCGCCCTTTTATTCCCTCTCTTTCAATAAAACTTAAAAATATGAGCTTCACCTTCATAAGAAAGTCAAGCACAGACAATTATTCAAGGGATTCTAAAGGCCATATCACACATAGCGAAAATTCGTTCAATTCAACCCCAACTTCAACTCCGAAGACAACCCCGTCCGAAAACATAGGTGTGCTATACTTATCCGAGTTGGAACAACTGTTGTTCAACTCTTTCACATCTCTTCGAAAGTGTTGAAGCAACTTCACAATTCAACCAATCAGGTGGCAGCAACCGCATGGGGTTATGGGATAGCACAAGTCAAAACAATATGGCCGCAAAGTTTATGGGACGAAGCAGCGAATCTAATTTGTTATATACTAACTCAGGTGAGTTTTTAATTGAGTATTGATTTTAAAGTTATTTTATACGAAGTATAAATATGCTTCTAACCATTAAAGAAGTTTATGTTATAAATGTGTTATGTTTTTAACCGTGAATTAAAAGTAGGATTTTCTACGCCAAATTCGCTAATCTAAAGTAAATTTTGCAAGTACATAAAAGTAGTTTTGTTTTATACTTTGACATTACTCTAAATGATAAACAAATTTTATGAATTGCATTCAATCCTTTTTGTACGTAACTGTATATTTTTTAGTATTCGCCGAATTAAAATGTAGTTTTTTTTTCAATTACTTTGCTCTTTCTATAGTTCCGATAAGATTATACTAGCAATTATTCTAGAGTTATTACTGAATTCAGTGATTTTGAATATTTTTTTACAAAGGAAAAAATTGCGTTTTAGAAAGTAAACTTTTCTGAAAACTTACTCATGCCTAAACAATAAGCTGACAGAATTAATTTCCTTGTATTATTTTATTTTTAAAGTGTATATTTGTCAGTATTCGCGGAGTAAAAATTTGGTTTTTTTCCAATTACTTTGCACTTTCTATCAGGGTTCGACAAGTGGGCACACCTTGAAAAAAACCTACTTGGGACGCTAAGTGGGTTTTATTAAAAAAGAAATGTTTTTATTAAAACTTATTGATTCACATTTAATTTTATGGAATTTATTCTGTAGCATAAGTTTGTCAAATAGATTTGCATGCTTTATATGATTAAGTTTTTAATATTTATAAAGTTGAAGAAACTTGAATCTGTAATTTTATATTACTATTAAAAACTTTGAGCGGGTTTTTTTCAAAAAGTAATATTAAATGAAATTAAATTAGATAGAAATTTAAATAACATAGTCTGTAAGGATCAATTTTTCAAATGCAGTTGCATGCTTTATATTATTAATAAGTAGGTTTTGAATAAATTATGAAGGAAGTTGAAAATATTTTTTTACCCGTTAAAGCACTTTACAGGTATTTTCAAGGTAATATTTTCAATAAAAAATATTAACACATGTTTAACTTTAAATATACTAATATGTAGGTACTTTTTATATCTGCTTTTTTTCATAATTTAATAGACTAATTTATTTTATGAAATTAAAGATAAAGTTAAAATTATTTATCTAAAAATGAAGTCTTTTTCAAGGTGAAGGTTAAATGTTTGAAAAAATGGGACAAGTAACTGATGCTCCTTGTAATTATACATAATTTTAATTTCACCTTCTATTAATCTTATTATAAAAACATGGAAGACCATTAAAAATTTATTTCAGTTTTTACTGATTATAAAAAACTTACTCATACTTTAACAATATGCTGACAGAATTAATTGGTTGGTATTATTATATTTTTAATGACTGTTCCTTATTGTCTGTTGCCTTAAATACACTTGCTTCACCTTTCTTAATAAAATTTTTTACTTGTATTGCAGCAAAGATGAGTCAAAATTTTAAACAAGTGCCCATTGGGGAAACTTTTAAATGGAGCATCGAAATGGAGAGCACATTTATTGAACTCTTGAAGAAAAAAGAGAACATTTGGAATGTAACATCCCGCCACCACAGGAAACATCATTTAAGAGCTCATAAAAAATTAATCGAAACTGCTTTTACATTTCTTTTGGAATAAATTGTTCACTTTTATCAGTTCTTGTTTCTCCTAATTTTTAAATAGTTTGTGTTTATTCATGTTGAACCTTTAACAAAATAGTGCCGTTTGATAGTTTCCTTTTTTTTAAAATTCAGTTTCACGTAAACTTTCAATTTTCTATAAATAGCACAATTTTTTTCAAACTAGAGTATTTCACTAGACATATAGGGCAATTCCATACTTAAAGTCAACATTAAAAAAATAATTCTTATTGCATTAATTTGGTGCAAAAAAATATCAAACTCCTAAATTCTGTTCTTACTGTTTATTTTTACTTTTATATTAAATTTTGTTTTCTTCGTCCTCTCTTGTTTGTAAAATATACATAGTAAATATAAATTGCAAAGAGCTATATTATGTTATTAAATATATGAAAAACTTAAAGGTAATTTATTTGAATAATTTAAAATAAGCATATGACTAAAGGTAAAAAATAATCTAAAAATATTTTTATTAATTATAGATAAAAATCCATTGCGACTTATGTGTTTAATTTATGATAATAAGTGAAATTAATACAGCATGCAACGAATATATTTATAACAAAATGGTGATTTTTTCTTCCTAAATTACTTTTCCAATATTAAAACTAATTATATATTTTTAACATTTATGTCTAAGATTTCACAAATGAAAACAAACAGTTCTCTCAATTAATTTTCATAACAGCCTAATATCTGTCCTCGTAAGCGCCATGCTTTAATCCAAAGTGTCCTTCTTTTATCTCTTTTTTCTTTATCAAACTGTGAATGATCAAGCTTGAAATTGCTAAGGAAGGATCCATTGCCGTCGATGAAATTAAATTTAACTAATACACGAGCTGAGTCTTTCGATGAAAAATTTTATCCGTCTATGTATAAAGTGCTAAATCACCTGAAAAGAAAGAAATCACTCGTTTACCAATGGTCAACTCTTTTCAACCGTATGGCAACCATAGTTCAACTGTTTCAGGTGGTTGTTGAACAGAAAGTCGAAGTTGGAGTTGAGTTGATGGTTGAATTGAACGAATTTTCGCTATGTGTGATATGGCCTTAAGAATGCCATTTGTAACGAACGAAATTGTGCACCATATTTTGACGTGCGAAAATCAAGTTTCGATTGTAAAACTACGTTGTTTCAATCTCTTTTTTTTCAACCATGTTTTTTGACACTCCATTATTTTCAATATATTACGATACTCGAATTCCGAATTATAAAATAATCACATTCTAAAAAGCTTAATTTAGCGACTATTCTATCGTGAATCCATGTCGTTTTTTAATCATTTCCTCTTTAGTTTTTCACAATCCGATATTTTTTGTAAGAGATTAAGACGTTGAAATTCGAATTTCAAAGTAAGCACATTCTGATGCATTCACTAATAAATCGACGTCGTTTACATTGTTTATTTCTGTTTCGGTTTTCTTTTAATATAAGATTCTGATATATGATATTTCGTCACGAATTATCACTTTTCTGAATTATGACTTTTTGATGCATGACGCTTTTATTACAAATTCAAATTTGTTTCAGTGCATTTTTTATAAATTTATCCCTTGCTTTTCAGCCATTTCATATGTTTTTCAAAATCTGATATTTCATACAAATTTGTTTATTAGATATTATGGCGCAACTTAGGTAGTTTGGCAATAATAATTCCCTTAAATTCTTTTTTTTTTAGTTTTCTTTTTTCTGTTAATTGTCACTTTTTAGATATTTTTTGTTAAAATTGTAGCCATAGTTACCTCGCATCGAACTTTGTAGCAAATAGTTGCAGTTTAGTTGCCATTACAGGCTTTCTCTTCTCTCTTACAAAAATAAACCTATAATTGCAAAGAAAACAATTAGAAATCAAATATAATATATAGTAATATATAGTATATAATAAGCATTACAATATACAATATATGTCATGGACAGTGATTACGAGAAAAAAAAAGATTACGCAAAAAAGTGCTTAAGCGAAAAAATGCTTATGCGAAAATTGATTAAGCGGAAAGGGATTACGCGGAAAGTTATTACGCGGAAAGTTATTACGCGGAAAGTGATCATCAAGCAAAAAGTGATCATCGCCCAAAAAGTGATTGCTCAAAAAATGTTTACATAAAAAAATGACACTTTTTTGCGTAAACTTCTGAAAATCAATCATTCAAACTTGGCTAAAAATCAGTTGTCGTAGCTTTCATTTTTTTATGGATTGGCTGAAAAATATTTTTCAGCGAGTAAACACAAAAGTCTCAATCAATTAACATTTTAAAAAAATTGTAAATTTAGTTCAAAAATTAGTTGTAATTAGCAAAAAAATTTTAAAAAATGCAAGATCGCTGGCCGAAATTTTAATGCGCAAATTTGGGATTACAGAAGTTAGTCCATAAGAGTTAGTCCACTTAAAAGCTGTTTTGGCTGTAATTTTTATTTTGAATGAAGGTTTTTTTTAAAACCATGTTTTATACACCGGTTCAGCATTTTAGGGTAATACTCAAACCTGTGGCTTCTAGGTCATAGCATCTTTTGGCGAATGAGGTAAAGAAAATTTTATAGTTTAACATAGGCTGACGGATTTCTTAAAACTCGTTTAAATTCGGGGGCAAATTTAAAACAATCGGTTTTTATTGTCAGAAATGAGATTGTTTCGCCAATATTTTTCCCCCGATGGGGAGACAATACTTTCAAAAAACTTAACGCAGAGGTAACCAATTCGTGCCACGAATGACATGCCAAAGCAATAAAGTGAAAAGCGAATTGATACCAGTATTAAAATTTAAAAGATTTTTCAAAATATTTCTTCGTTTTTTTCAATCGAGGAATATGTGTTAGTTTCCCATTGCTCATAAGTAATACACTTTGTGAAAAACCAATATCGTTTATCACGGACAGATGGACAATTTAAAAGACTTTAACTGCCGACAATTTCAAATTCACAACCGTATATTGGTGACCTATTGGTACCGAATATCTATAAAAATTGGAAAAAGTAGCCATAATATTATTTTTCAAAAGATTGTATATCGCAGGCTAAACTTTTTTATAATAGGATAAGTTTGGATACAGATTTTAAATTTTTAGTTATTGTTAAAAAGTTTAAACTTGTTTAAGACATAATATATTTTTTTGGCATGCGGAAAAACCATTTTATATATATTTCTCTTACACGGCACCAAAAAAAAGCCTCATTACAACTCCCCGAATGGCAACGTTAGGAAATCGACCAATAATTGCTGCTAAAAATGTCACATGGCAAATGTCACATGAGGTGGCTCAACATATAGCGCTTTTAAAAACGGAAACAATAACCAGAGTGAGCATTATCAGGTTGTTCAATTCAGATTCATGCCCTAAAAACATGATAATATTTAATTTAAACT